GGGGGGGGGAGTCTCGAGAAGGATGACACGAGAGAAGGTGGTTTTATATGGAGAATTAAAAATTAAGATCCTTGAATGGATGATATTGATTTTTGAAAATATGTTATTTTTGGAGAAGGGGGGGATGTGAAAAATGCATTCACTTTTTTTTGGAAAATATTTGTCACGCTGACCGTGTTGAATGCGTCAAGGCTTTTTGTTTTCAAGATAATAGAGTTTGTAATAGTCGTAGAATTTTTATTTTTAACTTTTTTTTTTTTGAATTTTTTCGAAGAATATTAATTGGAATTCTTCGTATTTTGTTTCTTATTGAAGAAAATTTGTATAAAATTAAAGTGACATTTTGTAGAAACAAAAATTTTTGTACATATATATTTGTAGAGAAAGAAATTATTTGTATCTCGTTGAGGAATCATTAAGACATACACGTTGTACTTTTTAACAAGAATCGTATATTCGAATAGTTACATAGATCGAACTGTGCGAATATATTCGGTTGAAATTACGAGCGAGCAGGTTATATTTACTTCAAGCAGTTAAAACGTTAAGCCGATTATAGTTACTTAGACTTTAAACTCGTAACTAAATAGTTATATGGAAAATCAGTAACTGTTTGTCGAACTTTGTATTTGCATGAGACTTAGGGAGAGTTGCTTCATGTTCAATTAGTTACTAAAAATCATAATATATCATTAATAAAATCTTCGTAACATTCTTTTACGTAAGTAAACGTATCTATTGTATAATTTAAAATTCGATTACAATTTTGAAAATTTTGAATTTCCAAAAATAATGACTTTCGATCAACGAATGATCATTAGAGAACTTTCGAAATGCTTTTGGTTTATCCCGACACGATTTTCGAGATATTATCGTGTAAAGAAAGAATAATTTTTAATCGTTTACTATCTCTTTCCTTGTTGCTTATTCGGACTTATCGTTCACAAATGAATAATCGCAGAATCATTCTTTATGTTATGCGTTAAATACTACATGAAAATTTTGTATCTTAATAATAATCGATAGAAATATCGGGATAAATTAGAAAATGACTTTAATGATATGTTTTTCTCTACTGATTGAAATTTTGATAACGAAATTTTTAATTTCTTTTTACATTTTTTTTATATTAATATTTTAAGTTTTTTTTTATGATTTTAATACAATAGATATGAAATATATGTAGAGACATAATTTAACGTATTAATATATTTTCTGTATATTATTTATTATTTTTCTCTTAAAAGAAAAAATTGTTTTATTTCATAAAACAACAATAAATTCCATGTATATAATAAACAGTTGTGTATAATACGAGTTTTGAATGGAAAGGATTAAAAATATAAATTTCATAGACGTGTACAGTTTTGGCGCGTATTGTGTACCTGACAAATAGTTGAAAAAATATTTACCCACTATCTCTATCGAATTTATACTCTATACTCCGAAATATAAAATAAACTAGAAAATTTAATAATTATTCGATTCCGAATGCATAAAAATTCAATTATATATAGATTTTATTTGTATCGAAATTTTGATAGGCTTCCATTTCCCAGAAAATTCCATTTCCTCGAATATTAAATATAAAATTGGATATACAGAATTGTAAAATATTTTTACTATTTGCAACGTTTTTTATTTTATTACGATCGAATGAAATAAAAAACGAGGGGAGTAACAAAGGTAAATCGACTATATCGTTAAAATGATATTTTACCACCGATATCAAATCGTTGATTTTTCGAGTAATAATTACATTGGGTATATATCTTATTGTTCGAAAAATAAAATTTCCTGTAAAATTCGATCGTTGTAATATATAAAAAATAAATCGAAATCAATTTTTTAATTGTATAAAAAAAATCTATTTTCAATTCACAATGTATTAATATTAACAGAACAAATTTTCAAGAAATAAATCCTCGAATAAATACATTACAAAAAAAAAATAATATTAAAATTTCTGTACACAATCATAATATATATATATTTCAAAAAGTTTTATTATATTTGTTTTCATTCAAAAATCTATTCTATTCAAAGTTTCCTATGCTAAATGTTCAACGATTCGAAACTTATTGTACGCACATCGATTTGAGATTCTACCGCGCGAATATGCATAAATCTTGCACATTGTAAAAGAGCTACTCATATTGCGCGAATAGTGCACGAACTTCAAAAGTGAAGGGAACGTATGAATAATGAGAACATAGGATAATAAAAGATTAAATGGCAGCTTAGAATCTAAGTCTATACCTATTTCAAAGGCGAAGTGCGTGTCTCGATGAATTCTATAAATGTATCGTATAGTTCTGTGCATAAGGACGCTAGATACGAATACGTGATACGAATGCACGATTATAACATTATATTTGGACAGAATTCGAAAATACTACTACTAGTATTCAAATTTAACGTCTAAAGATTGAAAAAAATATCGTGCACGTTGCATTCAATAGTGTTAAAGGGGAACGACGTATATGATAATTTTAATTACACAGAATGAAAAAAAGAAAAGTCGATGGACATTCGTTTCATATTTTTCCTTGTTGCACGTATGTACGAATTTTTAAAATAATCCAAATACATTATTAAAAAGAATGTCTAAAGAAAAAGAAATTTATCCGTGAAATTGTTCGAAAGAATTACGAAACGGGATCGCAACATTTAAAAAAAAAAAAAAGAAAATTGAAAAACCGTTATAAAACTTTCAAAGATTCATTTACCATTATATATAACGTATGTAAAATAACTGTTATTCATCGACCGACGGCTTAAAAATGGCTCGCACTGTCCTATCTTTCCGATCCAACTGGCGGTAAGTCGCGAAACAATATCGATCCAACTCGCAAATCCTTCCCTCTTCTCCCCGTCCCTCTTGACAGAACTGGGACAGAGCTTCGTCGTACCTCGTCTCGCGGGACAATAATAATAATAATTATTATTATCACAAAACGAATATAGAAACGGGCACGATTGAGAAGGGACAATGATATTGTTTCACGACTCGAGACGGTTGGGAGGAGAGGAGGATGAATCAGGTGGACACGAGGCGCGTATCTCGCGTTCCACGGTTATTCCGAACGTGTCCAAGCGTGGCGGTCAATTTCGAAGAGCCGGCGTCACACAATAACGAGGACACCTCCAGGAATGATCGATACGCGTACCTGGGGAATGCATCGACATACCGTGTCCACCCTTCCACGCGCTCCCTCGAGGAATCGATGCACGTTGCGCGATGCGTGCGCTTGATTGGAACGCGGTCTTTTCGAAGGAGAGGTAAAATTTTTTCAAGATTTTGTTGGATGATAATAATAAAGAAATCGAACGGTTGACTCGGATCTATCTGGGATCTTTTGTGAGAGTAGAGATTTTGCGATTTGCTTTCGAGATTCTTGTAAATTTTTAAAAATTTGATTGGACAGTGATAACAGAAATTTTCGAACGATTGATTTAAATTTATTAAGGAATATAAGATCTTTTATGATAATAGAGATTTATTTAGGAATCTGCGATAAAGATTTTTTATTATACAGAATAATAGAAAATAAATTCATGAATCTGAGATCTCGATGAATTTTTTAAAATAATGATTGCTTTTTTGAGAAATAATAAAAAATTTTTTAAGAATAACGGATTTCTCGCTAATTTTTTAAGAAAAAAAAATTGAATTGAATATATCATGAACTTCAAATATCATCTTGAAAAATTTTTCAAACAATCCTTCCCCATATTGTAATCTTTATTTCTTATGTAAGAATGTGAAATATTTCATAAGCAGTGTGCGTATACCTCTTTTGCTCATAGCAAGGAAACATACTTCACAGGAATTTTTAATCAATTCTAGTTTCAAACGGGATATTATATTTGAATAAGGAAATTCTTTTAAACTTATACATTTCTTGTTCCATTCTTTGATCATCGTCGTACAGGATTTCTCTTTTAAATTCTTTATTCTAATCTCAATTTCGCTGGATCAGATTTGTATTAAACCAAATTATATGTATTCTAAAAGATAGCTGAACGAAGACTTTCAAAAATTCCCACACAATTTGCAATAAACATACAACGAGGATCTTATATATTAACTATATAATATGCAACATACATCGTATACCGTTTTATATTTATTATATTTACTATATTTATAATTGTTGCGAAATATGTAATATATTGCGTAAATGACGGCAGAGCTCTAGCTTTTCCGCGACAGTTTACCGGACAAAATGTTTCTGTTGCGGAAGCGGCCCTTTATTCAAATGCTCATGTTGCACGACTCCCTTCCTCGTATATCCAGTCGACGATAATGCCGTTGTATCCCTCACTTACCATTCATATTGTATCAAGCTTACTCTCCCGCATCCTGGAAACGCCGATGCAATAAGGTGTCGTTGGACGTGCTCCTCCATTTCATGGAGATCAGAGGCAAACAGTTCTAATTACAATTCGGAATATTCAGAAGCAACATCGTGGCAATAGCTTTTAGACCGAGAAAACCAATTGGATTGCTGTGTTCCTCGCGCATATGAATAACTATCCTCGCGTTACATTCAAAAAGTGGCAGTGTGGAAAGCAGCTCGAGATGTCTGGCCGGATTATAGAGCAACTCTTTTGTTCCACCAGGTGTGTGTATAAGTACATATACGCGAGTGAGTGATGTATCTATGCCCGCGGAAGAACGACCGTTGAATTTTTCAAAAGGGTACCGCCTTCGTCGCATACGACGATGGCCGACTCGCGATAAGATAGATATAAAGACCGAAGTACGGGAAATAAAACGGTCTCTGGCGTGATAATACCGAAAAGTCAATTTATATTGTGGAGATTACGAGCTTACTGCTTGGAAAAATTCAGTCAGAATTGCGATATTCGAGGTGTAAATATAAGCGACGGTTTAACTTCGTATCGGTTCGATGATAATCGGATGCGATCGGTTTAGGGCTTGAATAGCTGGATAGTGAACTGTGGAACCGATCATATCCGATTATTGCCGAGCCAAGCCGAAGTCGAATTGCGTCGGTTATACTTAGGCACAAATTCCGATTTCGTCCGAAGTTTGCCGAATATCATCGAACCGTTAATTCGAATAAAGGAAAAATTGAATATTAAATAGTGTTTCTATTTTTTTTTAAAGCATGATTTTAAATTCTTATTTCTTGAAAAAAATTTGATTTTCTCCAGAACTCTTAAATTCTATCATGTATTTTTAGAATCTTGATGAAACTAAACTTGGGTTTAATGTAATAAGTTGAAGATGAAGGTTTTACTGCTCTATTATCCTGCTTTCATAGGATACTCATGCATATGATAATTGAGTTTTGAAAATATTCGATTCATACTATATCAAAAGAATTACTTCGGATTGTATCTATAGATTTAAATAATCTTAAGATTAATATTTTAATTTTTTAATATTCATTATTGTATTCTAGATTTTCAAATTTCATTTCACGAATTTTAAATGTAACAATTAATTTCCAATTAAATGAATTTCATTTCTCCCCGTAGTAAAAATATGTTCATCCAAATGTATGTTAATTCTTTTCTGTACATAGAATGCTTATTGCGAATAAGCGGCAATTTCTCATGTAGAGATGAAATACCGAAATGCGTCTCTCTAAAAGATGCAAAAAATGCTAAGCATTTTTTCATGCGAAATTAAAGCCACAGAGTCTTGACAAATTCTTTTTAATAATAGCCGACGACTGAGGGATTCTTTCGGCCCCCTATTACGTTCAAGGACAGACATACTAATGACATTATGTTTCATAAGCAAGAAAATTGTCGATTACACACTCGACCCAATTCCTCGAATTTCTGTGGACCGAACATTAACATATTTTAAGTTCCACTTTTCCTCCCCATTTGTCATAATGCTTTTCGACAGCGTTTTTTAATTTAATCTTTAACGTTTTCTCTGAATTCTTATACATAGAGTCATACTTTAACGCACGTCAATGTAAAACTATCGCAATCTCTCTCAATAAGACAAAATCATTTAATTAATCATTGACAAATTTAAATTGTAACTATATCCAATCGATTTTTTTCTTTCCTTTTCTTCCCCAAATTTTTATTTTATCATATTAACTGATTCTTAACAAAAATAAAATTTAATATTTTACGTAATAAATAATTGAAATTAACAAGTAATTATAAGTTAAGTATTGAAGGATTAAAAAAGTTTCCATAAATTTATCGATCAATACACATTCTCTCTTTTAACTATTTCAATTAACTCGATCGATTCTTCGATTTCTCTACATTTAACCAATTCGAATAAAATCTGGCAACGATCAAACCGCCATTCTATACGATACAAACCACGGTATATGCTGGTTTGAAACTCAGAAACCGCGAAACTTCAAAGAAAGTCAGATATATATCCCCAGGGAGGTATCAACCAACGTTAACGAAACTTTCAATGCGAAATACGTAAGCATGCTCCACTAGATTCAACCCTATCTACCTTTCCATCGACCAATCAGAAAACTGATTGGTGGAGAACGAGGAATTCGAGACATTTATTGACTATGCAAGGAAAAAAAAAATGGACGAAATCTCGATTCTCAGATACCCTATTTTCGAATGGCCATTTCAATTTAAATTTATATTTTATTAAAATTTTATCAATCATATCATTTTGTGATTTTTAATAATACTGTTTTTGTTTTTTAAATATTGTATGATAGAAAATATAGATTCTATGAAGATGATTATGAAGATTTTAATTATGTATAATGTATTAAAATATTTGTAGTCATACGAGAATTCAGTAGTCATCTAGAGAATTCTCGATATAATATAAAAATTTTTTTATTTCTCATAATTACAATTTATAACGATAGTTTAATTTATAAATGTAATTTCGTATATTTGAATAATTGAGATAATAATTGAACGTATACGAATATATATCGATATGCGTCCAAATAATAGTTTGGAAAATATTTCAGTTTCCAGTC